ACTCATCATTGTTTGCTGTCTAATAAAGTAGGTTGGTCCTCTTTATATCAAACAAAGAAATCACATATGTTAGTGTATACTGTAAAGGCATTGTTGGGCATGCTTCCAAATTACATCTCTAGTCTTTTATGCTACATAGAAAGAATTATATCACCAGATCATCAAATGGGATTCAATTAGAAATACCCAGGATACATTCAGAGCATGGAAAATCAGCTTTCTCTTACTATGCTCCGTGGTTGTGGAATGAATTTCAAACTGTAACTCCATTAGAAACAATTCCTTCTTTGAATATTTTTAAAAATTTAGTGCAGTGTTTAGCAAATGAATCATGTTGTTGTTTTAATTAATTTACTGATTTATGATTATTGTTTTTGCTTTGGTTATATGTAATTTTGTCTTGTGAGGTGTATGTTTGTGAAATTTTATGTGAAATTTTTTTTTGTACGGTCATCTTGGCCAGGACTCCCTGGAAGAATAAAGGATAAATAAATAATGCAAGTCACTTGCATCAGCAAGAGTCAGACTATCATTCTTACAATTTGTCTTGCCATTCCTAATTATTTACCATCCACATCACAAGTATTTAATTCTAGATCATTCATTTTATATAAAAACATTTCTCTCAAACACACGAATGCACACCTGTGTATGCATGGCAGGGACAGAGAGGGAAACATCTAGCACTTCATACTGTTGTAAAGTCCAACAAAGATTCTCTACCATCTGATCCGTGATCCTTTTCTCCTATTACTTTCATCTCTTAATGACCATTCTCTCTCTTATGAACCATCCCTTTCTTTTATTACAATCTCTCTGTCACTGAGACAGAATAAATGAGTCTCTATGCTTGGTGAGACAATAGAGTGATAATCTACTGTATACAATCTGTGCCCTTAGTGATTTCTGACATGATTACAAAACGAAAGTGGACCAAAGTAATGATTTATTAGCACCATTATGTGCATCTCTCACATAACATAGACATATTCACCCTGACCCTTCTCACACAGACACAAACACCAACCATACAACCGCACACTCATCTCTGTTTCCCAGGCCAGATGAGAGCTGTAGATTCTATTCATTATAGAGCATACATATCCACGGACATAAGCATGGGAATAAAATCAGAGAATAATGTACTGTAGAAGGTGGCGGGGGGGATAGAGTGCATTTATGACAGTCCTTAGGGAACCTTCTAATCAGCAGTGAAGGGAGAAATAGGGCTGTACCTATATAAATCTTGGACAGGGACAGGGGAGGGGGGAAGGCAAACAGTAGTGTAGCACCCCACACAAACACAAGAAACAAAGACAAAGAGTCCCATTGTGTTCACATCCAATCCTCAAATAAACCTCATAGAATCATATCTAAAGAAAAATTTGAATTAAAGAAAAGTCCTTTACCATACTGTAAGTGTATCTGTTGGCTGACTACATGTACAGTGTTTCATTGTTTCATTATACTGTATATGCATGTTAGGTGACATCTCTGCATCATATCACCTGCCATTATGACTGCAATAATTAAGCTGTAATGAATGTTAGCTGTGCCAACATTCCATTATCTAACGACATTATTAATGTGCATTAGTCTGATTATTCCTTTACATTATGTGCAAGTAGGTGTAGACGGGTGGATAAATGGGCCTTTTTTAGCTCAGGGTGTGTGACAATATTGTCCTGCACATCCTCAGAAGGGTTTGTCGAGAGGTGTGTTGCAGTGACAAAAGACACAATGTGGATATTATCACCCAGGGTTGGAAATTAATGGGGGTTAAATGACACCAAAATTCAAGATATTGGTGCAAAAATCCTCCTGTATTTATTATTTTTATTTATAACATATGATGTCGTTCAGCAGTATGACATAAGCAAGAGTGTTGTTTTCCCTGAATATCAGCTTGCCTGCAAATGAGATACTGATTTTACACAAATGTTCAATAAACAAGAACTTAATATGAAGTGAATTACATTTTAGGCACAGTATTGTCAATATTGCCTGTCCAAAAAAAGATACAACAGAACCACTGCATGACTCAAGTGACAAACACTGGTGTTTTGTTAGTGAATAAATCAGAATTTTTTAATCTGTTGAGTAAATGATTCAATGACCCATTAAAGGCAGTCACTTGCTTTGTTGCTGAGTGAATCAGCGGTTTTAGTTTCCTTCTCAATTGTATAATATACTTATTTACATACTTTTTCATTTTATATTTAAACAGATCACATTGTATTATTTATGCAAATGCAATCGCAGTGTAAATGCATAATCCTCACATGTTTCTTTGCTAAAGCTATAGGACATCTGCGATTGTGTTGTGATGATGATGATGATGCAATGTTTTGCAATGTCATTTAAAAATGTCAGGATGTTCAACCAATAGAAATTGAATTTCAGGTATAATGGGTGGGTATAGTGGGTAGGGACGATGAGTAAAGACCAATCAGGGACTGTTGTACAGCAGGAGCATGCTTGGATTGGATAGAATGCTCAGATTGACAGCCATCGCATTTACCATTTGCTATAGAACAGAAGTGCACAACTGGAGGCTCAGCGCTCATCCACCAGAATCTTTGCTTATTCTTTACATAAATGCATTGGGTGGACCAGCCAACAAGTTGGCCAGTGCCACCCTGGCCCATATGTAGCCTCAACACTTATTTGAATTGTATCTTGTGCAAAAGCTGCTGAATTCATTACTATATTTGTCTAAAATATATAGCACCCCACTCAGAGCTCACAGAACAAAGTGAGAGAGTATGGCTGGCTTTTCTGGACAGCACCGTGAGCAGATGAGTCAATCAGCAGTCTGTCGTCACTGTGTCATAATCAAAGCCACTGTGTTAGAGAAGAAACTGGCAGTGTCCAAAGCAGTCAGCTGCTTGTTCTCACTATTTTTCTTTCAGCAAATTAGTATGTTAGATGGAAAGGTCAACAAATGTGTTTCCAAAAGCAAAACAAAACCGGCCTATATTTATGTTCATGTTAATTCCAAAACAAACCATTCAGGTTTTTGTCTCTCACCACCATACTGTAAAGGTTATATTCAAACAACAATGCTATATATGTATATATGCATGCTTGTGTGTATGTGTGTGTGATATATAAATATATAATAAGGCATATAAAGCAAGCTCTGCTGCACCATATGTCAAAGTGCTGGCCACAAGGTTATGGCTCCAACAACGCCATTTTTATACTTACAATCCATCCTGGCTTAGTGTACATGCTTGACCGTGTGTTTTTATTTATACCGAGCAGGCTAAAGCATGTCTGGTACACCACAGGTGTTTTTATTTATGTCAAATAAGTATTTTGGGATTTGGTTACTTGCACCACTGAGGTTTGACAATCTGAACAGTCCCCAGTTCGGTCAGTGGCATTTCCGGCCACGTTTGTTCCTCTATCCTGCTTTTACGAATCAAACACAGATAAATATGCAAAGCAGCATGTGGACTACAACAGCCAGACAGGCCTTAAAGTGGAGGACTTCAATTATCTCATTAAAGTAAGTCGGCATTAAGCTGATCATCTTTTCTTGCCTATTGTTTCTTGCGAGGGGGTGTGGACATGTTTTTGATTAATGGTTATGAGAATTTTAAAAACATGAATTTTATGAAATAATGATGTGCACGGATAAAACAAAATTCAAAACAAATATAAAAATGTATAAATATTAAAATAAGATCAGATAAAAATAAGAATGGTCCATTTTGATTTCATGGTCACTTTAAACAATTAAATATAGCAGAGTTTCATAGTTTCTCTAAACAAACTCATTACTTAAATTCTTTGTCATACATTCACGTTTTCCTTGTCACTAGGTGAGGGAGTGAATGTGTGTCCAAAGACTGCCCATAAGGAAGTGGTTGCCAAGGAGACAGCAGCAAGAAAATGATGGTCCTTCCTTGTATGTGCATATGTGTCAAGGTTCACAAGTTAATTAAATTTACACCGTTCATGCAGCCCTCTAAATACAGAGGTGTGCACCTCGTGCAAGCGTTATCTAAAATCTGACAAGCTGAGAAATACAGTATGCATGACATACTATTATCAAGATTGCCATCCTTGGCACCACACTCCCCTAGTGACAATGAAAGAGGGCAACCATATCCATGCAGCTATTGGCCAATGAGCACTAACTCCTTATTGGCTAGCTCCTTCAATCACATTACACCAATGAGACTTCTTGTATCCATGAGAATGAAGCTTGTAGAGCTATTTAAATCTAACCACTGAGCCAAAAGATGGCTCATATGTGCATTTTATTCTATGAGGAACAGAGAAACAGTAGGTTTGTACCTATAGTGTTGGACTGACATCTCATGTCTGTCTTATTTGCAAAGTAGTTTTGACTGCTGTATAAGAGTAAAAAAAGAGTAAACGTGTTATGAACAATGCTTCATGTATTGGATTTGCATTATGAATATTATTGGCAGTCTACATCAGCATCAATTAAAATCTTTGACGTTTCTAGTAAATAATTTAGTCAAAGGGTGGACAGTAAAACAATGTGGACAGTTTCTTAAAATGAGAACACAAGCTCTGTGGGAAGTTACTACGCTATCAGCTTACCTGGCGTCTCGTGCGTGATTACGTCTCGCCTCACAGCTGCATTTGGCGTCTCTGTGGGCACTGAGCACCAGGCAAATACTATGAGTTTTGGGGAGGAATATAAATGAAGGCGTTATTTTATTTAGACTAAATAAAAATAAATGTATTTTCTTTATCGAATACGTCAAGTTTTGAACTGTCTCACCTGTGTTTTTTCCCGTTGGAAATAATGTTGAAATGTTAATGTTGAGGCCACACACCTATATAACAATCTTTATGTAATTATGGATTCTGATTCCTAATTAACTTGTTTTAAAAATAAGTCTTTAAAAATAAAATGGAAGAAAATATGCCAGAAAACAGCAAAAAAGGCAGTAAGGTTTCACACAACAAAAGCCTCCCTGTGTCACATGACCATGCGCGTGGCCGTGATTGACCCTGTGGCGTGCGTGCGTCCCTCTTTCTGCTGTCACACAAGCTCTTTCTGGATTAAAGATGATCTCTTTAAAACTGTGAAATCAAGGCCTAAATCGTTTGGAAATCAAGGTAAATGGGAATATAGTTTTTCTGTGCTGTTCACATTGTCTACTAAGAGCAACTAGTTGTCTAACGTTAAAGAAGTAGACTGCAGGCAACGCTTGATACTATGTCGTGGTTTATTGTTATTTTTTTTGTCGGTTACCTGAATACAAGATTACAGATCAAGTTGTTCATTGTACGAGTTTATTTATTTATTTACTTTAAGTTTTTAGTTTCTTTGTGCTTTAAATGTTTTGCATTTTTTGTTTTGCTACACCAGAGCTACTGTAGCAGCGTTGTGCGTTTCCATGGTGACGGTGCGTGGACGCGCGTGCTTGTCACACTCTGGGGTGCGTTTCCTAAAAGCACCTGGTTGCAAGTTCCGTCGTTACCAAAAGAGTTCCGTGGAACATGCAACCGTAGTTGGCTATCGATGCTTTTGGGAAACGCAACCCTGGATGATATGACATCGGTTGTGTGTGGGATGCATTTTAAAAAGTACTAAAATTGAAAACAAGTCTTGCAGGGCAGCAAACCACTTGCTGTAATAGGCTATGTAGACTGAAGTAATAAAGATGAGAATGTCAGAAACATATACATTTAAAAGTCTGCTACATATTCCTGGGACAGCTAAATCTTTATATTTACAAGAAGCAGTTAATTTTGGTCAAACGATAAATTTTTCTCCTTCTTTAACTGTAGTTATGCATCTTTTCCAGCCAATTTTGGTTATAGGATAATGGACAAGGTTTCAGGCCCTTGATACTGGTACACACCCCTATGGATCAAATATGTCTTTAATGGAGCTTCAGGACAAAAGTGAGCGTGTCTACACGAGCACTGGCCTCAGGAGACAGACGAGTGCTGAGATAGTGTCAGAAGCTCGTCGCTCTCTCAGAGCTCTTGCCACACAGCGGCCTTTCACACCTCAGCAGAAGCATCGGCAGCTCTTTGGAGAATCATCTTCTCGTGCACGTGATGGACGACCACCATCTGCATTCAGGTAAAACAACATTGAAGATGATAGATTTATGTATTCATCCCTTGTTCAGAATGTATCATGCTCATTATAATATTTAGAATGAATTTTGATTATAGAGTGCAACAGAACCCATCCACTTTTTCAGTGGCCTTGGTTCTGGAAGTACTACATTTTTTCCCCGATTTATTTATTTCCCATAGGGATTTTTAAAAACTCTTAATTTAAGAGTTATAAGCCATGATTCAATCATCAATTAACAACTTTGTAGCTCACAGTAGGTCTGTTTTCAAATTATTGTTAAAAATCAGTTCCACTATTTAGAAAATGAATGGAATTTTTACTTCCAGAACCAGACTGTTGCACTCTTTAAAGTGCTTGAATTGTAACATTAGCTGTTTGATTATTCTTATAAAACTAGTATGCTGGTTTTAATTGCCTTCACAAATTTCTTTTCTAGTCTACATGCCCAACATTTTGAAGCTCCTGACTCCAGGCCAGGCTCTGGAACTCGTCTCAGCCCACTGGAACATGTAAGGAGCCTTTCAAAACTTTATGTCTGACTATTCAAACGAAAACAGGAAACAGTAATTCAAGAGTTCTCTCAATCCCAGAAACCCAGGCTGTCTGTGTCCCTGGATGAGGATGGCGGTGTTGATGAAGCAGCTCTCCCCAAACCCCCAGCTGAACGAGGGAATACAAGAATAGGATCAGGAGGTTCTCGAGCCAAACTGCTTAGAGCAGCGTCCATAAACAGGCTACCACCCGTGACACCAAACACAAAGAGTAAGAAAAGAAATAAAACAATGTTTTATTAACCTGTTTGTTTTCTTTTTTTCTCCTTTCAATGAAAAAAGGCTAGCACTTTACAATGTGTCATTTGTTAACATTAGTTAATGTATTAACTAACATGAACAAACAATGAACAATGCATTTATTACACTATTTATTAATCTTTGTTAATGTTAGTTAATGAAAATACAGTTGTTCATTGTTTATTCATGTTAGTTCACAGTGCATTAACTAATGTTAACAAACACAACTTGTGATTTTAATAATGCATTAGTAAATGCTGAAATTAACATTAAGTAAGATTAATAAATGCTGTAGAAGTATTGTTCATTCTTAGTTCATGTTTACTAATGTTGTTAACTAATGTTACTAATGAACCTTATTGTAAAGTGTTACCGAAAAAAGTAATAGTCCATGTTCACCTGTCAGGCAGATTGATAACCCTCTTCATTGTGTCCTCTGTCAATGCCTCTGAAGAGACAGTCAGCTAACTGATAAAGTATTTCACACTGAACCAAAATAAATAGACACTTTTTAAAAAAATCTGATATAAATCAGTTTACATCCCCAGGATGTAACTCTGCTCTGTATGCCCTGAGTTTGTTTGTATTGAAAAAACAAAATGTGTGTTTGTCCTGTCAATAGTTTGCTAGATTGAGTTTTATTCTGAGTAAGTAATAAAATCATTCAAAAAGTTCAATGACACTGAAGGACAGTGCTAGACTGTAAAAAGTTTACATGAATGCAACTTTTCCAGCTGAGCTTCTGTTTATTCAAATTTAAAACAAATTGTCTGCGTATGTATATATATAGTTTGGGGTCAGCAAGTTTTTTTAAAGAATTTTACAAAAACTAAATTCTGTTTAAAACACGTTTTTGTTTTCAAATATTCATGAAAGAATCCTGAAAAATGTATCATGGTTTCCACCAAAATGTAAAATATTAAGCAGAACAACAGTTTTCAGCATTTTATCATATTTATAGATAATGTTGATAATATTTAGAAAAACATTTTTCTTAAACATTTTGAGCACCAAATCAGCATATAATAATGAGAATGCTAAAAATACGGTTTTAATATATTAAATTAGAAACAGTTATTTTAAATTGTAATATTTCACAATATTACTGTTCTGTTCTTACTGTATTTTTTATTAAATAAATGCGTCCTTGGTGAGCATAAGAGATTTCTCTCAAAAACATAAAAAATATGTGTTGATTAAATGTATTATTATATGCATTTTTGTTATTCTTTAGCTAAGCTGTTTTGTTGTGTGCCTATTCAGATATGTCTCTAGAGGCAAGGATTGGAGCAGACCATCCAGGTGAAAGAGAAAAGCTACAATGTTCTGATGTTACAGAGCATACAACAAATTCTTCCTCTGAAACAGACCTGCACATACTTACTAAACACAGGTATGCTTTTGAGCACAAACATCTCTTTTGCTGTCTTCTATGTGCACTTGAAGGTTTATTGTTCTTTTAATGTACTCTTACATTTGTAATTTTACTGAACACATGTTTAGAGGTTTGAAACCTCTGTAGATGGGTAGCTTTGAAGCAGCATGTTTATGACAGGGACTCACATCAGGCGTTTGTCCCTTTGTGCTACATAACAAAAACCTCTACTGTCAACGGATCATCAAACTCCCTCAGTAAACAGATTTATGCTCTGTGCCAAGGAAGAGCAATAAACCATTTTCATGTTTGTTGATTCTCAGGACACCCTGTTCAGAGACTGAACTTGTTTATTGTTAATCATTCTGAGGATCAGTAGATCCCAGTGGTGTCAATCCTTCCTAGAGTTGGGGTACTCAGACTCGTACTCGGACTCGAGTCCGGTCTCGAGTACAGTTTTTTAAAGGACTCTGACTTGTCATGGACTCAGATGCATTTTTACTCAGACTTGACTCGGACTCGAGCCTTTTGGACTCCAACCGAGTCCAGGGACAGTTGACGGAAATGTCACTGACTCACTGCATTATCACGAAAGTGATATTCAGTATTTGCATATGTTTTTAAGTCTTGTCCAGTACTTGAAAACACACCGAAAGCGCGCTCACAGAATGCGCCTCTCAGTCAGCTTGCGAATGCGTCATAAATGTTAATCAAACAAAAGAAAAGGAGAAAATCACTCACTGCTCTTGACTGAATCACTTATTAACTTGAATAAGAATAATCTATATTTAATGTATACAGTGAAGATTATTTTTACATTTATTACTTCATGAAATGTCTGTAGTAGGCTATTTCTGAAAAACAAAAAAAAACTATTTAATTTATATTTTTGAGTAATATATTTATTTATCATTTATCTTGTAAGTAATACTTGGAGTGTTTACTTGCCTTCAGTAAGCCTGAGAATGTTTTATTACATTAGTTTATTATTTTTTGCTTTTGTATTAGTGGCAGTTTCTAGCTTCAAAGAAAAAGAATTTTTCTAACATGTTTGCGGCAAAAGTTTTTATGGGTGCATTATTTTCTAATAATTCAACGGCCCATCAACAATTATTCCTTACATAATGTAATTTATTGTAATTAATGTAACTATAAATGCATTCAAAAATAAAACAGGTGTGAGTTGTCTGTGACTTATGGAAAGTATAGGTAGGGCTTTTATACACAGGTGTGTGCCATTGTACAGACTAGGTTTATCCCTCACAGCCTCATTTTCATCCAAGAAAAAATTCAAAATGCCCTGTCTAAGGGATCCGTGTACTTTGGCGTCCATTAATTTTTCTTTTTTTTTTAACCCAGAAATTAAAATGCAGTTTCTTCTTTAATGGTTCAAACACTGGTGAATAGAATAAGCAGACACAAACTAATTTTGATTATTCAAAATTCATATTTCATTAAAAATCGTAAAAATGATATAAAGCTTGTTTTTTATTGAGATAAAAGGTGCATTTTCTACTCTTAAGGTCCCATTCACCAAGATACCTACT